ACAAATTATCTAATAAATATCTGTCCGTGGCAAAGACTCAGTAAATGGTAGTGGCTTTATCAGAGCTTTTGTAGAATATTGCAAGGATAAGTAAATGAATCAGAAATGGAAAAACTAATTATGGTATGTTCACAAATGGAATAATAGATAGCCATGAGAATATACAATCTGTAACTACATGCAGTGATGTGGGTAAATCACAGAACGTGTAAACGAGAACTCAGACACAAAAGAATATATACTGTACGATTCCATTTCTGTAAAGTATAAAACCAGATAAAAACCAACCTGTTGTGTTAGATGTCGGGTCATAACTGGAAAGGGCTCAAGGTGGTGGTGGGGGTAATTCTCAGGGGGCTGGTAATATTCTGTTTCTTGATCTGGGTGCTGGTTACATGGATGTGATTATTGTGCCAAAATTCACTGAACTGTATACTTAGGATATCTGCGCTATCAATATATATGCATATACATTTCAAGAAAAGGCTATAAAAAATTAGGAATCACCAGAATCTGAAAAATGACCTTTTGTGACTATTTTAGTCACTCAACATCATAAGAATGTAAGGCAGTAAAATTGTTTTAGTTGTCACCTAGAAAAAAAGAGAAGTTATTTCATTGTATAAGAAAGTGTTTCTGTGGCTCACATGTGTTTTTTTAATTCCTCAGTTCTTAGAAAAAGGATCTAATTTTTAAGTTTTTATTTCAATTCCAGTTAGTTAACATACAGTATAAAATTAGCTTCCGGTGTACAATATAGTGATTCAACATTTCCATACATCACCCCCGGTGCTCATCACCACACGTGCCCTCCTTCATCCGCATCCCTATTTCCCCCATTCCCCCACCCGCCTCCCCCCCGTCACCATCAGTATGTTCTCTGTAGTTAAGAGTCTGTTTCTTGATCTTTCTGTCCTTTTTTTCCCCTTTGTTCATTTGTTTCTTAAATTCTACATATGAGTGAAATCATATGGTGTCTTTCTCTGACTTCACTTAGCATTATTGTCCCTAGCTCCATCCATGTTGTTGCAAATGGCAAGATTCTATTCTTTTTTATGGCCGACTAATATTCCATTGTGTATCTATACACCGTATCTTCTTTATCCATGCATCAATCGATGGACACTTGGGCTGCTTCCATAATTTGGCTATTGTAGTTAATGTTGCTTATATAAACATCGGGGTGGGGGGGCATGTATCCTTTTGAATTAGTGTTTTTGTTTTCTTGGGGTAAACACCTAGTGGTGCAATTTGCTGGATCGTGAGGTAGTTCTATTTTAACCTTTGGAGGAAACTGCCTACTGTTTTCCAGAGCGGCTGCACCAGCTTGCATTCCCACCACCAGTGCAAGAGCCTTCCCCTTTCTGCACAGAGAGGGATCTAATACTAGAGAGACCTTTGCGTGTTTGTCAAGGCTTCCCTCGCGCTCTTCGCTCCACATGTCCGTGCCTTTTGTTGCGTGACCTTGAACGGTTCCGTTCGTGTCTATTTCTGTCTTGCCGCAGCCGGAAGCTGGCGGGGCCCAAGGGCCGGAAGAGGATTGGCTGGATGGAGTTCCAGCTCTCCCACTACGCTGGGGAGGTCACCTACTGCACCCAAGGCGAGTGTCGCAGCCGCGCAGGTGCCCCTGTGTCCACGGAAGACCTGGCTGTCCGTCCATCCCAAGCGCTCGCTCGCCCTGCTTGCAGGCATGCCACCTGAAGGGTTTTATTCATGACTTAACGTCCAACCACTTCATTTCACCCATTTAGTTACACAACCATCACCACAGTGCATTTTAGAACACTTCACTCCCAAAAAGAAACCCCGCATGCATTAGCAACCACTCCGTTTGCCCCAGCCCCCTCCCCCACAGCCCTAGGTTAGGAACTCCTCTGTTTTCTGTCTCTGCAGATTTGCCCCTTCTGAGTATTTCATATAGATGGGGTCTCACAATATGTGGTCTTTTGTGTCTGGCTTCTTTCACTTACCATCGTGTTTTTGAGGTTCTCCCATGTTAATTATTTTTATTGCTAAATCATATTCCATTCTCCGGATAGACCCCATTTTGTTTATCCTTTCATCAGTTGATGGGTGTTTGGGTTTGTTCACACTTTTGAGCTATTAGTAATAAGGCTCCTGTGAACATTTTCTTTCACAGCGTTTAAAACACATTTTCCTTGGTCACTTCTGCTTTAGGTTCTGAATTATTTTCACTTCTTTCTTTTCTTTTCTTTTTTTTTTTTACATTTTTTTAAATTTAGTACATCATTGGTTTTGATATGATGTTCAATGATTTGTTGGTTGCATATAACACACGGTGCTTTTTTTTTTTTTAAAGTAGGCTCCGTGCCCACCGTGGGGCTTGAACTCATGACCCTGAAATCGGGAGTCACATGCTCTACCGACTGAGCCAGCCAGGCCCCCCTAAATCATTTTCACTTCTAAGTAAGTTTATTTCGCTAAAAATCTTTAAAAATCAATACATTTTTTTCTCTTAAATTCCCAGTGGTATAAAAACAGAAAACATTTAAAAATAGGATGACTCTCTCTGTGGAGATAATCAATCGATTTTTGTTTAAAGAATAATATACATGTAAGGCTGGAAGTTGCTGTCCATACAGAAAAGTCCAAAAAGGAAACCAAAAGCCCCCTTTACTGCTAGCTTCTCCCTGAGGTAACCACAAGAACCAACAGTTTCTTGTACTTTTTCAGGAAAATAGAAATATACATGCGGGTGCACACATACACATCCAAACAGCACACATGTGCACCCAAAACTAACACAGGTTATTATTTTGTGTTCTCTATTTTGCATCTTTTCATTTAATGACTATTAGAGATCATTTGGATTCCAGTTAACACTCAGTGAGCACTTACTGGGGGCCAGGCACTGTCCCAGTGCTTGACCTCTGCTGTTCACTTAAAGCTCACAGAACCCTTTTATTATTATTATCATATATTATCCATTCTTCACAGTAGCCTACAGATCCCATCACGTTTCTTTTGAGAGACTACAGGCACTCCCTCTAGGGCTGTGTCCTTTGACCTATTTGATGGACACTGCTTGTTTCCAGCTTTGTCTCTTGTAAACACTGCTGTGTTTGCGTCTTTGCATATTTCACTTGGCTCATCGCAGCATGTTCTATACATAGGCTGAGTTCCCAGAACCAGAAGTGGCGCCTTGCTCATTTAAAGGTGCTATCAGGGGGCGCCTGGGTGGCTCCGTCGGTTAATCGGCTGCCTCCGTTGGGTAATCGGCTGCCTTCGGCTCTGGTCATGATCCCGGGGTCCTGGGATTGAGCCCTGCATCGGGCTCCCTGCTCAGCGGAGAGCCTGCTTCTCCCTCTCCCTCTGCCTGCCGCTCTGCCTACTTCTGCTCGCTCGCTCTCTCTCTGTCAAATAAATAAATAAAAATTAAAAAAAAAATAAAGCTTCTATCAGAAGTTAGTTTGGACCTCTTCTAGGTGTGTACCTGAAGAGAGCAGGGACTTGAACAGATATTTGTACACCCACATTCATAGCAGCATTATTCACAGTAGCCAAAAGATGAAAACAATCCAAGGGTCCATGAATGGCTGCGTGGGTCGAGCTCTACATAAACAGCCGGAACATTATTCGGTCCTAGAAAGGAAAGGAGTTCTGATACGTCATGCCACACGGATGAAACCTTGAAAAAAACCTATGTTAATTGAAATCAGCCAGTCACAAAAAGGACAAAAACTGTATGATTCTGATGACAAGGTGCCTAGAGTGGCCAAACTCATTGAGACAGAAAGTAGAAAAGTGGTTCTCAGGGGGAGGGGAAATGGGGAATTAGCGTTTAATGGGGTCAGAGTTTTCAGTTTGAGAAAATGCGTTCTGGAGACAGATGGTGGTGATGGTTGCACGAGAATGTGACTGTACTTAATGCCACCAAACACTTAAAAATAGCTAAAATGCTGAATTTTAAGTTATTTATATTTTACCATAATAAAAATGTTAGTTTTGATAGCTCCAAATAGTCTTCTCAAAAGGTTGTATCTTAGATGTTTTTGATACATGTCTTTTTTTTTTTTAGCAGGTTTTGATTTTTTTATTTTTTAAGTAGACTCCATGCCAGGCATAGAGCCCATCGTGGGGCTTGAACTCACAACCCTGAGATCAAGACCTGAGCTGAGATCAAGAGTCGGACGCTTAACCGACTGAGCCACCCAGGTGCCCCTGGTGTTGATTTTGTAATGTCATTTAGTTACTAATATTATTAACTGACTAGGTTTTAAGTGAGCACTTAAAAACCAAATTTTAACATTGGGAATGGCACGTCCTCCTTTGTATGAAGATACTGTTGGGTCCCTCTAGTCCTAATGCTTCAGTTTCACTTTCCTCAGCGGTGGGGATGATTTTTCTCACCTGGCTTCCCCTGGCCACTCTTGAAATTCAATACTCCCTCCATTGTTTTGATGTCATTCCTTTTTTTTTTTTTTTTTT